CCAACCTGATATGAAATCCACCCTTCTGGCTTCGGAAAGGAGAATCTATGGATATAGTGTGGCAACAAGACAGGTTAGTGCCAAAAGAAGTCAATCTTTCAAACAGTGATGTGTGCACAGACCCAGAATATGATGAAGCTGCTCAAAGGCCCATACTACTCGACAGAAAACATATGGTGCTGAAGTAAGTCCAAATGGGAGAGCTTGGAACTACTACATCTGGTCCTTATGCAAAAAATGTAGAAATCGATGAGAAGACTGCTATGGGGATGTGAAGGTAGACATCTGTAACATCGAACTTGGTCATCCAAAGATCTGGTGTGAAGTGTCATTAAAGTTGAAGAAAAGATTCCATGGTGAAATGAGGAGGCTATAGGAAGAGATTGACTTGAGACAGATTGATGATAAGACGCCAATCTCCAGCATTCTTGGTCACAAGAAAAGGATGAGAACAGAATCCTGTATGAATAGGATCGACTTTCTGAATGGGTAGACACAGACACCACTGGCACCATTCTTACCTTCAGAAGATCCCTAAGAATACAGATGTAACTGATTCTGTAAACCAAGGGGTGCCTTCCAGAGATCACAATACACTAGTAAGAGTTAAATGAATCCACAAAAATGGAGATCTGTTAAGAGGGGTAACAGGTTCTAACCTGGAACCCCATAGATCCAACAACAAATCCAACTGTTGGGTGTCCAAATACACTACAGCAAGACGATGATAAGCCAGGGCATGTTGTTCTGATAAATGAAGGGAGCAAGGCATAGCAATACTCTCTCGTAATTGCACTGCAAACATCCCAGCATAGAAGGGGAAGGAATAAGAACTAATTAATCACCCCAAGATCTATCTAACAACAAGACAGGGTAGATGCAAAAGCAAGGGGGTTAATCCCCAAAGCTTCACAAACTTGCGTAACTAACTGCAGAAAAAGAGGCAGAAGGTGGCCAATCAGATGAGCTCTCAGTAGAGGCAGCTCTAGTGAAATAAGTAGAAAACAGTGTATAATGGGTAAAAACCCTCAGGCTGCAGGAAGGACTACAAAAAACAAAAACACCAGACTACTGTCAAAATGCTTCAAAAGAAAATGTTAACCACAAAACATAACTCCTAGCTCTAGTGCTTTATCAAGAAAAAGTGATTATATTGTCAACATACAGTGGTTATATACAGTATCTGCATAGAGAGTGTGTGAGGGCCCATGTAAATTAGATATTGCTGAGGGCAAACGAGTGGGGTATAAAGACTGGAGCAAGCAAACATGATGTTTAGATGACAAAGATGAAAACTGAGAAATAGCTATAAATGTCAGTAGAAGTATGCATGTTTCGGAACTTATATACCAGATAATTTAAGTGCATTGTAAAAGTCCATGAATCAAAATTCTGCTTGACGTAGAGTATAACCATAATGAAAAAAGTAATTTAAATACTCTAAAAATGGTTTCCTAAAAACAAATTTATCATTGAAAGTGTTACTATAGTTAATGTAGGGGTACAGGAAATGTAGTCAACATCCTTTGTCTGTTCCCGAGAGCTAAAGCAGTTTCAAAAAGACAATAAAAGATACAGACCATTCAATACCTGGGGATAAAATATAATGAACTATCATCAGTTTACACTACACATACACTTGCAAAACAGATTTTAGGATTTCAAGGTTTTCACGGTTATAAACACAGTTGACAATTATCATAGAAATGTTAAATCATAATAATCTTAACTTACTCTTTGAACTTGCTATTATTAAAAGTTAACATATACAAGCATATTTTTCAACAAATAAGTCAGTTAATAATGAAAAAAAACAAAAACCAACTAACCTGGTGTCAGAAAATCTCCCAAAGGATCTTCTGCTTGATTAAGTAAAATATTCTTCATCTTTAAAAGAACACCCATTTCTTCTAAATACAGAAGTCCATGTTTAGTTTCAACCAGTTGAGAAAGAAGCTCCAAACAATTCAACTTGACAAGAATATCAGTTCCATTCAATTCATTGAGGAGCACGTCCAGGAAGGCACTTCTGCTTATAATGAGCAGAGCTTCATATGACGAACATGCCAGTATCACCAGAAGCTGTAACATAATGTGTTCTAGGGCTTGTATTATTGTTTATTTATTATATTACACTATGACAGCACTGATAAATATTTCAGTGACAAATTATGGAGCAGATGAACAAATTCTGCAACAGCTAATATACACTGAGTGGTCACAAGTAAATAGATACTCAATTTTTCGTCATTTAATTGAGTTATGCTAACTAATTTGTGTTCACAGAGCACTATATAAATGAAAATGGTCCACACACTAGTTATCTTGTGCTACTACATGCCTAGAACTCAAGGTTCTCTCGAATTGTCAGATTTTGTTAGAGGAGGAATAGTTGGTCAAGCAGATGGTGGAATAAGTCAGCGGCAAATTTCGCAGAATTTGGGAATCCTGCTTTCGACAGTCAACAGAATCATCGTGCAGTTTAGGAAACACGGCAAGGAAACAACTGAGCAGCGTCCGGGTCGTCCTGGTCCATCGGAGAGGACAAAAAGGGCTGTCAAGAGGAGCATCGAAATGGATCCCAGATTAACGACTGCAGAAGTGTCCAAAGCTGGTGGGATGAGCCCCGAAATCTGTTCAACGGATTCTCCACAGATTGGGTTATAGTTGCAGAGCAGCTAGACGGAAGCCCTTATTAAGGCTTGCCAACATAGTTAGACGAAAGAAGTG